GATCACATGCACTCTTCCAAGAAAAAAAAAAACCTCTCTAGCAATACACACCAACTAAGCATGTGTAGAGTGACTCCACATGATATGTATTATCAGGAGATAAGAGGGAGATCAGCACAGTGGGCAAGGGGGAGACAGGGGGAAGAAATAGTCAGAAAATGTGATTTGAAAGTTTCCCTATCCTTTATGTTAAAATGATTCAGAAGGCAGTTATATTTATGTTTTTCAATATATTGCATGACAATTATTTTAACAATAAATGTATCCAATGTATTAAATGCTGAACTTCTTTAAGACATATTTGCCAAGATGTCTAACATATAAAATAGCAGCTGAGATTTAATAATATGGAAATTTTTAAACAATATGGAAAGCACATACTGCCTGCCATTTTGGGAAGTCCTAATAGTCCACACATGACTTGGCCTGCAATGCAGATCAAAAAATTAAAGCAATATTAAAGGCAATTAAAAAAAAACAAACAAATAATACTTACCTGCTCTGTGCAGTGGTTTTCAACAAAGCAGCCCCAATCCTCCACTTCTTGGGTCCCCCACCCGCACTCCTGTCCTCTCCCTTCTACTGAGTACCCCCAGAGCAAGAAGCTTGCTATGGGAGCACCCAAGCAGGCTACGTCCTGAGCTGCTGCTCTGCGTGTCCATTCACACACAGAGCCGCAGCTTGGCCCTGCCCCCTCTCTTTCCTCATTGGTTCATTGTCTCAGCCAATGAGGAGGGAGAGCCCTTGGAAAAATGAGGCTCACGTGCACATCGCTGGATCATGATGGGGCTCAAGTAAATGTTAGGGTGACTGAGGGGGCTGCTGCACACAGGTTTTTTATCTTCATGCATAAACTTGAGTCTTTACAACCACTTTAAGACCCCCTTTACAATGAAATCCCATTGTACTGTTCTACTGCATACAAGTGAGCATTGTAGTGGAGTGCCCATTCACTCACTATGCCCAGATGCAGGCACATGCCTATTTAACTCCTTTTTTAACAAATCTCTGGGTTCCCGGACACAGGGGAACCACCCCACCATAGGTAGTATACTCTGGATATTCCATTTCCTCCCTATACTGACCCACAGAAAGATTTCTCTGCCTATCTACAAGGACAGGAACCAAAAATAAGATTAAAAAGCCCCTCTCCACTGTCCGTACTAGGTGCTGGCAGAGTTCAGGTGTTTGTTGGTTTGATACCCCTGGACCAGGATCCAGTAGGTCATCTAGGTAAATTATAGCCTCTTGTTCTTCTTTAAACTGAGGGTGGCATGTTTTGATGTACCGAGGTGAAGGTTCCCAGTGCTTTATAGGTAGATTCTATCTGTGGAGTCCTGGTGCTGCAGACCAGAGGTTCATGGCTGGCTACCTCCATCTGTTAGTCTACAGCATGCAAGCCAAGGTTAAGGTATCATCTCTACAAAATAATTTCTAGTCCCACAATACCCTATGTCATTTGGTCACCTCACTTTACTACCATGCATTATAAGGCCTCATTCACCCTGGGCATTTAGCCCTGGGTACATGGGACTCTGTTGTTTAGCTTCAGCTGGAGGGCACAGGTACACTTGTCCAACCCTGCTGCCAATAGTCTGTCAAACTCTATGAGAAGCTGACAGTTGCAGCAGCTGGATGGGGTTGGGTGGTGCAGCTAAAGGTACTTATGTTTAGTGCGGTATGTGCCCAGGGACGAATGACCAGAATGTACAAAGTTCCAGGCATTCGTCCAAGCGCTCATACTAAAATTAAATGAATATACTGCTGAGTTAACAGGTTGCCAGCAGCAGGGCTGGATGATGCACCTGTGCATTCTGTCCATGGCTAAATGCCGGAGCCCCATGCACCAGGGCTAAATGTGGAGTTCTTGTATTCACCTTTTTTGCCACTGTTATCATGGTGTCTAAGAAGCAAGCACATGGCTTAGATACTAAAAGCTTCTCAGCAACAACAAGACCTTTGCCTAAATAATCATAGAAATGTCCCAGCATAAAACTTTTTTTTAAAGTATGTTTTTATTGGTTTTGGAAAAATACTCTACAAAACAGAGCCTTTGGGCATTCCCCAGCTCAAATGAAAACACAACATAAAAAAGAACAGTCCCAACCACTGGCGGACTGACCATTTGGAAACTCAGGCACTGCCCGAGGGCCCGGGGTCAGTAGGGGGCCCCATGAGATGCCCCTGGTACCTTTGTCATAGGCTTTTTTGAGTGTGGGCAAGGACACAGGGGCCCCATGATCCCCTATTGCCCGGGGGCCCCATGAGTTGTCAGTCCGCCCCTGATCCCAACTGTAGTCACAACTCTGATAAGTCCATTTTTAAATTGAAGAATAAAAAGCATTAAACAGTGAGTGAAATGTTTTCACATTTTCTGAAAATCTCCACAGTTGCAGCTCATTCAATACAAAAAAAAAATACAACAAAGGATCTTACACTGGCAAAACAGGACAGAAATTACAAAAAAAAACAATGAACACAACCTAAAACATAGGGAAAACACACTTATGGGGATATGATTTCTCACAATTTGACCACTCTGTGGAAGACATGAATGTTTTAGTTTTTAAAGGGAACTTTAAAAATACCCAGGAAAAGACTATTTTTGAACTGTGTAGCACTACTCAGGAGCCGCTTGGTAAATTGTTCTGTTCTTTTCCATGACTCGTAAACAACCTCAGCCCCACCTGACAAACTAAGCTAAGCAAAAAGGATATTTCACCACTATTACTAGCACACAAATAAATATCCTGCACACACTACAGTATAGGAAGCAAACATAAGACTGGTTAGGAATTAAGAAATGCCTTTTACAGTAACGGATTCAAGTAGATGGCAATATGTACATATGGGAACAAGTAGAGTGTAAGGCAAACACAATTCTCTAGACAAAAGTATTACTATATTGTAATAGTTAAAAAATAAGGATCTATATGGTTAGAATAATCTATGCATGGTAATCTTCACATTAGCATTAATGCTGATGCACAGGTACCCCTTTCTATAGTCAACAAGATAAGTCTTTATAGAGCAGCTAGCTGACCTTTGCCCTAGTTCTTCAGCCAACTAGTGTTGGGGCCCAGTCTTTATGATGGTGCATATAAGTATAGTCTACGTAAAGGCTGGTAGTTAAATGTCCAGTCCCCAAGTACTCAGGCTCTGCTAGCAGCGATAGATCAATGGCAGCAATACCTTTTCACCAATCCCAGCGATACAGCAGCCTTGGTTCCTGTTTTATCACTTCTGGATCTGCCTTGAGCGACTCCAGTCCTCAGCACACAGGTTAACATTGTTCTGGTTTCTGTCCCAGGCTGAAGACTTGTAGCAAGTTATATTACACTCAGAATAGAAATGTGCACACTCAGATCCCCTCACAGAAAGAGCATGTTTCTCTCTAAGCCCTGGAGAAAAACTGCACTTTTCCCCTCCTGTTAGGAGTGTATATCTGGAAGTTGCAGTCAATCACTCCCAGACTACATTTCCCAAAGTTCAATGCAGCTTGCAACAATGTCTCTCAAGTCTTTCCTGTACAATGACTCACTGCTGGATGGATGCTGAAATGCACTGAAAGCCAACATAAGAGTCTTGTATAGGCACACAAATCAGATGTAGTACAGGGTCTTTATAATGGTTTCTTCTCTAGCCAAGCCAGGGCCGGATTTCCCAATAGGCGCTGTAGGCATGTGCCTACAGGCGCCTTTCCTAGAGGGGCAACCGTCTGTATGATCATGGGATGATCATGTAGCAACCTTAATCACCTACATGAGCTGGGATTTCTTCTGGCAGAAATGTTGGAACTCGGTCCGGCATCCCTGCTATATATACAGTACACCAGTGGCAGTGGCTGGACTTCAGCCGTGGTCCATGGAGTATGCAGGCAAGCGGGGAGCTGGCCGCATTGTCCGATGCACCCGCTCTCGGGCTGCAGGTACCTTACAGTAGGCAGTGGAGTGATATAGCTGCACTTCACCTGCCCTCTGGTGTCTCTCATGGGACAGGAGCAAAGCAAAGGACAGCAGCAGGCCGGTCACCAGCAAATGAGCAGAAAAAAATGTAATGTAAAAAATGCAACAATGTATGGACAAATGGTTGACTCAAAGACTTAACCTCCACTTCCAACATTTATTAGGAGCCACAGGTGATGCTCTGCGAGAAGAGTGCTTCTTTAAAAAAAAAAAAAAATATATATATATATATATATATATATATATATATATATATATACACATGTGTATATATATACACACAGTGTGTATATATATATATATATATATATATATATATATATATAAAATATAGCAATTTGCAAACAAAATAAAAATGCCTCAGTCATACATACACTTTAAGTTGATTTTTAACTGTTATTTTTAATTCTTCTCACACAAGTTAAAAACAAAATGCTTTGATATCTGATAGGATACCGCAGCTTTATTTTAACATGTGTGAACAATTAAAAATTACAGGTAAAAACTTAACCACTTGACCTCAAAGGTTTTACCCTCTTCATGACCAGGCCATTTTTTGTTATTCCACACTGTCTTTGTTTAACCACTTGCCCTCCTGAGGATTTACCCCCCTTCCTGACCATGCTATTTGTTTGTGTAACGGCGCTGCATTACTTTAATTGAAAATTGCGTGGTCATGCAACGCTGCACCCAAATGAAATTTACATCCTTTTTTCCACGAATTGAGCTTTCTTTTGGTGGTATTTGATTGCCTGTGCGTTTTTTATTTTTTGCGCTATAAAAAAAAAAAATGACTGACAATTTTCAGAAAAAAACAATATGTTTGGCTTTTTGCTATTAAACATGTCCAGTAAAAATTTTTTTAAAATCTAATTTCCTCAGAAATTCAGGCCAAAATGTATTCTGCTACGTCTTTGCTAAAAAAAAAAAAAATCCCAATACGTGCAAATTATTTGGTTTACATGAAAGTTATAGCGTTTACAAATGGCGGTATAGATACTGGAATTATTTTTTTTTACTAGTAATGGTAGCAATCAGCGACTTATAGCGGGACTGCGGCAGACATTCTGACATTGGGGGAAACTAACTTGGTGTCACTGACATCCCCAGTGACACCAATACAGTGATCGGTGCTAAAAAAAAGCACTGACACTGTACTAATGACACTGGGCAGGAAGGGGTTAACATGAGGGGCGATCAAAAGGTTAACTGTGTGCTGGGAGTGTTGTACTGGGGGGCGGTGTGTTGGTGCTTAACTGTAAGGACACTGGTCTGGATGGCTGTGCTGTGCACAGCCATCCAGAGCACCGAGCCGATGGGGAGGGGGACTGTTATTAAACAAAGTAGCCCTCCTTCCCATCGGAGATCCTCGGTAATCACCGGGCGGCGGCGGGTAATTACAGGCCGGGACCTGGTGATTGACAGCCACGGCCGCGAATGGCGGCACGGGTAGGGCGTGCGCATGGCCTACAGCACAGCCATCCAGAGCACCGAGCCGATGGGGAGGGGGACTGTTAGTAAACAAAGTAGCCCTCCTTCCCATCGGAGATCCTCGGTAATCACCGGGCGTCAGCGGGTAATTACAGGCCGGGACCTGGTGATTGACAGCCACGGCTGTGAATGGTAGCACGGGTAGGGCGTGCGCACGGCCCGTGCATGCCCCCTACCCGGAAATGCAAAGTCACGTATATATACGTAATTTTGCACACCTCTGCCACCCTATGGCAGTATATCTGCTATAGGGTGGCGGAGATGTGATTTTAACTGGCAATATATAAACATACACGCGTGTGTTTGAGTTTTGGTTAGTGGTGCACACCCTAATGCCATAGGCTGTGCATACCAATGATTGTTGTATATCTAAATATATAGTGCAATATATTGTGGCATTATAATACGCTTGCATTTATACAAATGGAACATACATTTGTGTTGTGGCCGTGGGCTGCTACCTGCTGTGGTTTTGCTGCGGCATCACACATAGGCCCAGCGACACGCGATGCTACCACCCACCAATACTGGAAATGGTGGTGTGCGCTTCAGAATTCTCTGCCTATAGGTTCCTGAGATGTAAATCCAGTCCTGAGCTAAGCACCTGCCTACATATGAATGATCATTCTACAGTCCACTCTCACCTCTGTGACTCTCTGCTGCCCCCTCCACCCTTCCCATTCCATAGCCCATTCCTTTCCTTATTTCACCAACTATGCCGTCAACCTATCATTGCTGTATATTGTACATTTGGTGTTTTTTATTCAGAGATCGTCCTAAACTGGCCATAGATGGATCGAAATGTTGATACATCTATGGTCACTCCAGCTGGACAGAAGTCGATCTAAGGATTGCCTTCTGTGCTTCTCTGTATTGCCTCTTAGTCTGTGTGCCTCTGTATCCCAGAGTTCCCAGTGTTATTGGTTTCCAGTCTTCCTGCCTGTGACCCCATGCCTGTGTTTCCCTGTCTGTTGCCTACCTCATTTATCCCATGCATTCCTGCCAGTGTCTTGTATCTCTTCACCCTCTGCACTTCAGTTGTTCCTGCTTGTCTTCACCTGTCTGTTTCCCTGTGTGTCTCAGTCAATCCCTTGTTATCTGCACTTGCACTCCCAGCCTGTGTTTCTCACACTCTCCTAGTATATACCTACAGTCTAGTGTATCCAGGCCTCCAGCGCTGCAAGACACTTGTTCTTTTCTTGTGTGTTTCCACAGTGTTCTCTTTGTTCTGCTAGTACCTGCTCTTCTGCTCCTATATGTTTCCTTGAGTGCTCCATTCAGAACGTAAATAGGTTAACTGACCACACCAGCATGGATCTGCTGCTGTGCTTGACATGGCCAGGTATTTCAGAAGAAATAAAGATCTCAATTAAAAAACAGGTTAAATGTACCTACAACAGTTAAACAGTCACATATGTGGTTTAACATAAAGTTTGATATTATATTAACATGCAATAACATGTACTTTATTCTGTTTGTTACTCATGGGTGTAGCTAGGAACTTTGGACTTTTTGGCTTTCATAGATGCAGACGTTACAGCAGACCAACTTATTGGTGACCAGGTGGATTTTACACTGAACAGCAGCCTGGTAAACAATTAGTACTGGGACTGTTCTGTCCTCATTACACGTTTTTCTGCGTGTTACTCGAGATACAACTAAACCCTCCTATTCTGCAATAAACCAGACTGAATCTAATCTTGAAGCTTTATTAACAAAACAGGGTGGGTGAAACTATTAGAAAACTCAGATAAGAAGTGCATATAATCTGTATAAGAAAATATACTGAAAACACAGTGAATTATTAGGCTGTAGATGACAATAAGTCTATGCTCACCAGTGATGCTGCCTGTAAGGGATAAAGTTCAGTCCATGATGTATGTTGCAGTGACTGGTTCCTTTCCCTCAGTTGTTAAAATGGAGTCTGAGCTCCAAGATGCATCTCTTTCCTTTTCTTAGAATTAAATATTTTTTATGAGGCTAAACAGTCTCTAGTTTCTGTAAATGTATTATGGGCTCCATCTAGATGGAGGCAGCACAGGGACTGTGAAATGGTTTTGGAAGGTCTGCTGGGAAACTGGCACTTCTAGAAATGTCAGTTTCTTTTGTCCCATAGAAAGCTCAATTTATCCTTCACATTTTAATCTTAGCATCGTTAAAGTGTATGTAAAGTCCAAACTTTTAAAATATATTTGGATAGAGTGGGGAAATGATAAAAGCCCTGTCAAATTTTTATTGCTGTTCTGGGGATATTTACCTTCTCTATATATGGTGACTATAGTCTTTGGTGCAAAAAGTGATGGGAAATGTAATATCTGGAAATGCCCTCATGTACCTTTAGCAATGTACCAATGGGCTCAGTGCACCAGGTACGGTATGATGTGAGGAACTGAGGGTCCACATACTGGGGCAAGCAAAGTGAAATTTGGGGGATTGGGAAAAAAAATTACTTTTGACAGAGCAGTGGTGACAGAAGAGAGCTGGTACCAGGCAGTGAGGGGCAGCCAAGTGTCCACACAGTCACTTAGCTTGGGAGTGTGCTGGCAGGTGGGGGGAAAGCAGGGCCAAGTGTTAGGACCCACCTATTCAGCAGCCAGGCAGGCTCAGTGGGCTGCTTATTGGGCAACAAGGGTCTATACTGTATGTCTATTATATAATTATTTATATACATGGTGGAGCCAAATTTTCTTATTACATATGCAGACTCTCTGTTTTCTGTTTATGTCTTACTGATCCTAATATATATCTGAAAGGCAGGGTTTGTCTCATTGAAAGTAACAGTCTCACTGCAGTCTGTAACAATGTAACACATAAAATTCCTGGTAGCAAGGAGTATGTTATTTTTTGCTAAGGCTTTAGTCACGCAATGGGTCGACATCACAGAGCTGGTCTGGGTTCTGCAAGGATCCTGACTTTAAGGTCAGGATCCACCCAGATGCTTAACTGGCAGCTGACTCAGCCTCCAAGCATGCTGTTGAGAGCTTGAGCTAGCTGCTTCTGCCCCCTCCATGGCCCAGCATTCCAGCCAGGGCTGGAGGGGCAGAGCAAGAGTCGGTGACTGATAGTCACTGCTTTCTGCTTAGTGAAGATCAAGATGTTAGGTGATCGCTCTGTTCTCAGTCTTAGAGCCGATTGGGGACAGCTGTAGCATTGGACCAAGACTATCCAAGCATAGCCAAGCATGGCCAATATCCTCTAGTCTATAGCAAGCCCCAACACATGAGTGACAATTCAAAAGCTAGTGAGAGAGCTAGAGAAGGGTAGTAGTGTTCCGTCTTCCAGGAAATTGGGTGGCAAAAATTGCCATTAAGGGAAACCTTATGGGCAGCACAGTGGCTAAATGGTTAGCACTTCCGCCTGGCAGTACTAGGGTCGTTGGTTAAAATCCCAGCCACAGCACATCCTACCTGGAGTTTGCATGTTCTCCCTGTGCCTGCGTGGGTTTCCTCCGGGTACTCCGGTTTCCTCCCACACTCCAAAGACATGCTGGTAGGTTAATTGGCTCCTGTCTAAATTGGCCCTAGTATGTGTATATACAGTATGAATATAAGTTTAGGGACTTTAGATTGTACGCCCCTTGAGGGTTAGGGACTGATGTGAATGTACAATATATATGTAAAGCGCTGTGTAAATTGACAGCACTATATAAGTACCTGAAATAAATAAATAAACCAGAATGGAGAGGAATAATGGAGCTATCATTGCTGATGTCATGCAAAGAATACTAGTGCTACTTTGGAAAATAAAAAGATTGTTAGAACTGTTTTAAAATGCACTGCAATACTTTTTCATTTTTTTCGGCTCTTGCATTTACAGATATAAATAATGCTTTAATTTTTTGCTAAACCAAACCAACTTCATTCCAGTTTCTTTAGCTGCTCTAATGACTCAGGGTCACGTGAGAGTTTTCAGTTTTGCATAAGTTTAGGCATGTTTGTGCTATTAACCACACTAACGAGCATTTTTGGCTATTTCTGCAGAATTTGTCAGTTCTTACTGGACCTGATTGCTAACTCTGTTCTCCGAATTCCTCCTTGTTTGGCACATCAAAGAAATACTGTAAATGTAATCAGAATTTTAATAAGCTTATCAAAACTTCATAGCTTGCAAAAATTTTATAAGTCAGCTTGTGAAGTGTTAAAGTATTGAGAAATTCACATCACTCAAATCATTGTCTTCCTGTGACTTTAAACAGTGAGTTTGTTTTCTGCAAGGGATATACTTCCTCCTTGACTTTGCATAGTAATTACTTGACAATCTGTTCTTTTGAGTAGATTTCTTAGACATGTGAGCTGTACAGAACTAGCTTTGTTCTTCTGATGAAGGCCCTTGTCTCATCCTGTTAATGAGGCCAAATTTAGAGGAGATGTAGCTTGCCATTTTGAAACATATTAATAAAAAAATAGTGTGGTGCTCCTAATAAATCTAACCATCCTTATTAGGTTCTCTTCTACATTTACATACAATTCAAAAACAAAAAAAGTGCAATCAACTCCAAAAGTGCAATGTGTTATAAACCATTTAATTAAGCGCATAATCCCTTTAAACCACTTGCCGACCGCAGATAGCGGAATGACAGCTTCACTGCAGCCGACCAGTTCTGGGAGGGCGTCATATGATGTCCTCTTAGAACGCACTCTCCTGTGCGCCCCCGAGGCCACGCACCTGGTGATCTCTGTGATTGCTATATCCTACGGACACAGCTGATCACTTGATGTGGTAAAAGGCCAATCACAGCAGCCTTTTACCACATGATCAGCTGTGTCCAATGACACACTGATCACCAGGAAATGCAATTGCCGGTTATTGGCTGCACTTTCCTGATGCTGTCACAGCGTGAGGAAATACTGCCGAGAACTGGAAGTTGTCAGAGGAGGGATTGGCACCGATCATCAGGGCACTAATGATCAGTGCCCTGATGATCGGCGCCAAGCAGTGCCACCCACCAGTGTCGCCCACCTGTGCCC